AGCACTTTATATCTCTACTAAGCACGCGTTGCTCTATTGGTTAACGTCGGAGAGCCAGCCAAAGGGGATATTAATATCGGAGTCGATTATTCAAATTCACTCGACCACGAATGCATTTCGAGAGGAAAGCTAATAATATAAATATCAATTTTTTCTCGAATATTTTTAAACACAAGCGAGAAACCTGCTATACCAGAATGTTCAAACGAAGGAATAGAATATATATTCGTTGCTTTCTCTCTTCTATCTTTCGTAACTAATAGCTCGAAATTACACATTGTATATTTATCGCGTTATTTATAAATAACTTGAAATCAAATTATCAATTGTTATAACGGCTGGTGATTATAATCAAAACTATATGGCGAATATTTATATAACTCGCAGAGCAGTTTATTTCTTCTATGAGTATATCAAATATGCGGTTTTTAAAACATTAGTTTTTCGTAATAATTATTTAGAACAAATATTGAAACGTCATAAATACATCCGTATTATCGTACATTTCCACGTTTGATTACATGTTTGTTGAATAATAAAGCATAGACACACACACGCGGCTTTTACAAAGTAATTAATTATGCTGTTCCAAATGTAACTGCATCGATTGTTCGATTATTTTCCAGTTAGCACATTCGTATTATGCGCTTTAAATAATTCGTGATGACGTCGTATAATATAAAATAAATTTTATCGTACCATTTAATATATTGTCAACGTAATCATGGTACATAATAACTGCACATAATTAATTAATGTAATTCATCATTTAACAATAAGATAAAAATTCAATTGGAAATTAAATTAGGATTATATTTTTATTTGTCACGGTATATTGATCGAGCATTAATTTTTATTCTCGAATGTATTAGACATTAGACGCTCGATTTTCCCAGGATTTTTTTGTATATCTATTTTTCGACGCGTGTTATTAAAAACGTATTGTTAAAAGTTTTTAAGCCGTTGAATCCCAGAAGTTTGCAATACCACAAATATAAGTTGCATCTGTCGAATGATACTTGATAAGGCAAGACTCAGGAAGTGCGGGAGAGTCTGAAAGTTAATTAACATGATGCAAATAATTGCAGCTTTCCTGTATTCGTTACTCATTATCAGATCGCAAACGAAACATGAGATCTGATTTCGTAAGATCGAGATTTCTCGCGCGACGTCCGCCGCGCATCTTCATCTTTCTCCATCCTGTTATCGCTATTATAAACAGCAGCGTCGAGTTTCATTAATAAACTCAAATTATTCTTAATCAACAGATTAAACATCCTTTCTCACGTTTAACGCAATAGTTTTAATTTTTTATGGCGCTTACTATTTTATAGAAATAAATTCAGTTGAATATGAGTTGTTTATGCATCGCAAACCAACAATTTTTTTCAATGTTCATTGATATGGCTCTATTATAATTAAATCAGTTAGGTTATTCGGTGATCAAAATTGTGTAGAAGGGAGCGACACATGATACAATAATCTCATCTGCATAAATTACTCGTGATACTGTTATCGATCTAACATATATTGCATAGAGCCAGTCTATTTGATCGGGAAGTTCTCCTGAATTGCAACATCAACAGGTTCTCCACTCGCTTTAACTACAAGTTAAACAGCCGTCGGATTCTGCCGATACAAGCATGTTCTGACTTAAACAGCAAATCAAATTAGAAACCTAGTGTACACATTAGAGAATTTATCAAATTTATCAAATTGTCGAAGCTATCTTCTTGAGAGAAACGCGTTTATATATCTTGTAAGAGATAAAATTAATAGATCTTAAATCGCCGTTAAATCGACAATGTATATAATACTGTTTTATTTTATTCGATAAAACCGTCAGAGGAAATATGTATAACTCTCTTTGCAATAGAAATATATCTCACAGTTACCTAACAGGAGAACTGTCAATGTACGCCGTTCGAATCGCGGTTATCGAATTATTCGCGCCGTTTGACATTTTCGTTATTTATTATATGTACGTACGCGTATGTGTACACGCATGAGTTCCCCTTTCACTTTTCTGTAACAAGCAAGTTTCCCGGTAACGTTAACATTAAAGCTCGTTTATGTATCATTTCGCCGCAACGAGACCTGTCGCATTACAGTGAAAGTATCCCATTCGAGAGGGAAATGCGAGCTCGTCGTACAAACTGTCTGAGATCCTCCGGTCATTCATGAGGCCTCATCGTAGCCTGTTATTCGCTCGTTAACGCATAATTCGATATTGCGGGCGTGCTCCACGTTCTCGCGAGTCGCATCTCGAATAATCTCCCACGTTGTTCCCATACCTTCTCTCCCGACGCGTTCTTATGTCATCGTTAATGAATCGCGCTTTGCGCAACTCTTAGAATACGCGAAGAATTGGAAGAGGAGTGTTATCGACGTGTCGAGCAGACTAAAATTACATTGTGCAATATCGTGAAAGAAAATACGACGATAAAAATATATTATGTTTATTTCCTTGGAAAGGAAAACTTTGCAACTTTTCTTTTCCTACTTTTACGTGAAATTCTATTTAAAAGGATCCCAATTTAAATTCTCGAAGATTTCGATGCTCTTTTGAAACTCTGGATTTTAATCGCGACTTTTTAAAACCGGACAAGCGTCTTCCGCGTCCTACGCGACGTTAAGATACTTAATTACGCTACGTCTTACAATCGTTAATCTTCTAATTTGCGCCGAGAGTACGCAGGATACGTATGTACATATGTTGGGACGCCGCCATGCGCGACGACTAGACCGTAATCTTATCTCGAATTAGACATCGAACGCTGCTCGTCATTGTTATAATGGGGATCCCAGTAGTTGATTAGGCCATCGAGAAGTCTTGGGAAACGATGTTTTTTTTTCAGATGCGTGACGTTGCGACACGTCGCCGAGTCTTACGCTCGTTGCACGCTGGCACACGCATGAGAGGAGGAATCCGCGGATATACGGGAGTTTCGAGAGAGAAGGGACGGAGGGAGAAGACGCTACGGTTATTTGAAGAACGACTGTTGGTGGTCACACAATCGCTTTAGGAGGATTTCATCGTCTTATAAAAACAGCAGAACGCGCCGCCTGGCCATTACGCGCGTCCAATTTATCTTCTCCCGTGTCATCATACTTAACCACCGGCTAGTTTATCTTTTCCGACGAGAAGTCCGGAAGCGTGAAGGGATTTTGCAAGAATCTTCATCTCTGACAACGTCGCAAACTCTCCCACAGATAAAACCATTCAGCACTCTAGATAAAACCATTTCGCTCTATGATAATTAATCGTAATATTATTCTAAAAGACTAGCGTATAAAATTCTTGATGAAAACGATAAAGTATCGATATACTCATATATAATTTATATCTGCTTTGCATTTGCATAAGTAACTGGATTTTTAGAATCTTCTATATATCTCTACTGTTTATTTCATAAATAACATTATATACGCGCATGAATAAATCATCGTGAATAAAAATCATCAGAATTAAAAGGAGACTGGAGTATAACTGGCTTGACCCTTGCGGAATTATTACCGTTAGAGTAAATTTACAGTAAATTAGAACCCGCGTTGTTTTTCCGTTCTCATTACGATCTCACGATCGTAATATATTCATTGCGCCTTTGAATACAATCCAAATTAGAGTACAGAGAGAATCTTCTTTATATCTTTTGTTACAGAAACAAAAATGTAAAAGAAGCGTTCTGTCATCGTCGATAATTGCAGACTTGTAACTATTCCAAATAAGATAAACCGGGACAACGGCGAGAAACGACCACCACAGTACGATCAGAGAGTGCATATTACGCAATATACGTAACTCTTATTGTGCGACTAACTGCACGTAACGTCATATTCGTGTGCCCCCAGAGGGTTTTATTCCATGGCCATTCTGCGCGAGTTAAACAGTAACGCGCGCCCAATTTTACGGCGAGATAATTGACGATTAATGCATGGGCTCCGCTTCCACACATGAAGTGGAAAGCGAAAGGCCAGGCGAACCAGAGCGTAACCCTTTCGCGAGATCGGGCGCGTTTAAAAACTCGCAAAAAAACGATCTTTGAAATGCTACAACCTTTTCCGATCGGCCGCTTATCTGCTTCCTGCTGCTGCAGGAAACTCACAGGATTCCGGCGTTTATCATTATCTAATATGTTCAAAATCGTGGAATATTTGAAATCTCATTTATATTAAAATATTAGAGAGAGTTTTGCGCGATCTACGTAGGTGATGATGCAAATATTTCTTATAAAGCACAATAATCATCAAGACAAGATATCGGTCAACAGAGAAGCACAAACATTTTTTTACATGCGAGAAATATTTTCTTTCTGGAACATTTAAATCAAAATTTTAAATTTAAATTATACACCCACAAATAACTTTTTACGTCACATAAAACTAAATGAAATACCGTGAACTTTAATAACTTGGAGCACAACTCGTGGAAAATGGTTAAATTAGAAGTAAAGTTGAGATTTTCTTTAAAAATTTTTTCCCTCGTATTTTTGTAATTTTGATGAGGAATGAAAAAGAAACGAAGTTTTACAATATGTGTGTCTTAAATCTTTACGGTTTATTGTCATTAAGTAATATCTTTCAAACTATATGTGTTTTAAGTTAGCATACTTTGCAGTCTCTCTATCCGGAGGATAGAGATTTAGCTTTACTTTGTGGAACGATACACTACGGTAGCCTATATTGACGGATAAATCACAGGCGTCTCTGCCTTTGTTAAAGCAACGCACATAAAGCAAATTTCAATTCATTAATGCTAAAAGGCTGCTCTTGCGCGTCTAGGCTTCTGTCAGTCGGTATAATGCACTTGCACCGTTTAAGCTACATAGCACGGCATTTCCAGTTAGTGGATTCTGAGAGTGTTCATTGACGCATAGAGAGAGACGAAGCGTCTGTATTATAACGTCTATTGTGAATGCCAGATTGTGAATTAAATCGCGAGAAGAAATTGACGGCGATAAATATCGCCGAAGATACGCATTGACATGTAGTTGTAACAGTTCTTTCGGAAACATTAACTCAAACGCGCTTTGAATTGCGAAAGATCATAGAAAGTGCATTCCTGGCGTTTGGAAATCGATTTTAACGCTACGTCAAGGTCGATGAATCTAGGTAAGAAAAATTACCATATAAATGGGAAACTAACTGTTGTAAGATATAAATATCTATAAATATAAAGAAGAATATCGTCAGGGATTTTTTTATTTAATTTAGTTTTAAATAAGATAATTAAATTATAATGATTCTTAAAGACATATCTAATAAAAGAACGTTTTTAAAAAGATATATTATTAAAAAGTACGGGATTAATAACAACTTAAATCGGCAACTAAGTAGTTTAAATCTTATTCGATTGATTTGAATTTATTAAATCGTATTATTATATTACACGGCAATCGAGAAAAATATATGCGGTCATAAAGATCAGAAGCAACAGTGAGTTTGCTCGTATTTCAATCAACTCTTAATCGAATTATTCAGAATGGCAGAAAATTCCTTGAGTAATTCTGTCTCGTATAAATCATATTTAATGGAGAAAAACGTGCAACTTCGATGATTGCCTGTTACGTTAATGTACATATTATTTCACACAGTTATTAAATTATAACAACAATCGTTTATCATACATATTCCATCACATTATTTAAAAGCTGAACGAATAATCTTAGTTAGACAGTTTTTTCAAGATCGCAAAATCTTTTCTGAGAATATGGTTTTTTGTTTGATAATGCAAAGTAATTCAAAATATTTCCCTGCGCTTTTCATATTCAATCATAATGGATTGAATTTAAAAAACGATTGATAAAACGAAAAATGAGAGGCTATTCAAACTCTGGAACGCCAGGTTTATAACATTCGACTCTATTCATCATGTCGACCATGGAATGTATCAACTCCTTTGGGAATGCTGGACAACGACATTTATAATTAATTCATCTGGAAACTGGCTTGAAATTTAAATGCAACCGGGCTCTATCGATTTCTTGTACTGCAGCCATTTTTGACCGAAAAGATGGCAGCACCAAACGATATTATTTGCGAGCAAGCGCACTCATCCAAGTGTTTTTATTTCATACCTGTGGCACATCCGTCTTCCGGGCCAACAGGAAAGAAACATAAAAAAAATCTTGGGTCATTTTTAAATACAGATTGTGAAAAATTTGAAACACTGATATTTAAAAAATTTTATCCCTCCAGAGGTCGAAAGAGAAATTGGAACGGATTATTCATCATATAAATGGAAATAAATATTAATTTTAAAATACAATTTTTAGTATAAAGCACGATATATACATCCACGAATTATTCATTATCGTAAACGATAATCATCGATGTTTGAAACAGATATTATGCGATAGTCGAGAAAAACATTACATTTGTAAAAGACGATATTCATTATATACACACAAATATTTACTAAAAATTTGTAATTACTCGTATATAATTATAGAAGATACGGCTGCACGTAATTAGCCGCGTACGCGCAAAATTGATTATTCGTACGATGATTATGTGAGATGCAAAAGAAATATTCATACGGTCCGTATCGCTTAACACCAGCTTATAATTACGTCAAAATCGATGAGTGGCGATCAGATTCGCCAATTGAATTGGCGTGGCGATGCTGCGCGAACCAATTTCTAGGGTCTCGCATTATTAACGCGTGGCTATCGATTAAATGAAATTTCGATCATACAATTCGGGAAAGTGAGAGCGTTTACGGAAAATGCTTCAATATCGCGGCACTTTTACTTTTTCCCGCCTGAAACTTTCTTCTACATATGACGGTAAGAAAAAAAATTACCTATGCAAAGTCGACAATTTGTACACCCCCGATGCTTAACGAATGAGGAGAAAGCGCGTTATTTTTACATTACAAATTTCCTGCGCGCTCAGCTTTACTATTTTATGTAATTCTGTTTTACTATTTTATATAATATACATGCGATATTGTTTCTTCCTTTTAAACATTAATTGCGAGAATAATTGATTGTAATATCACGCTACCATTTCATACAATTTTCAGTTCATTCAGTTTGTTCATTCGCCTATTAATTATCCTTGTTACATATAGACTCCTGCGAAAGGTTTAATGTTTAATGGTATCGTAAGCAGTATCGTAACTCTATCTAAATTTATGTTGCAATTTCATAATCCGGTAGCTTCGGCCGTTACGTCGAACATTTGCACCAATAATGGGATAGTTAGCGATTCACCGCGTTAGCCTCATGAATATTAAGATTTACTAACGACTTTGTAATATCCCCCGATATCTCCGCTTTTTCTTTTTTATATCCGCGTGATAAGTCAAACTGTCACTACGACAAACAATGTTTTAGAAAAGCTAAAGTTCAGCCAAGTGACTCGAAATTACAATATCGGGCCTATTAACTCGCATTTCACGTTACTTTGCACAAAAGTGCACATTGTACAAAAGATGTTCGTGTATTATGGCAAATGTCCGTATATAAAAAGAGAAATTCTCTCCCCCTTTCGTGGATTTCGTTATTACCGCGATTTAAGAATGAGAAAACAGCACGGAAACGATCCGGGAGATTATGATAGATGCACGACGCTTTCTATCCTTCCTTTCTCTACGCGATACGTTACACTTTTCTCGTGCTCATATTTTAACATCAGTTAATTCACCTTGATGCGGGATGAAGTATGGGGCGCCGGGTGTCCTACTTATATCACGGGGATATTGATAAATATTATTTTCTCGTATGATTTAATCCGCTTTACGCAGAGAAAGTGTAGTATTTTATATAAATAAAAATTGCTTTCGTTTTAAATTTAACATATTTTTTTCGATCATCCGTTTAATTCTGTTCTTACAAATGCGATGCGATGATAACATTTGAAATAAAACATCGGACTCTGTTAATAATAAGCAATTATTTGTTCTGTTGCAGAATTCACATATAAATGATCTCATGGTCTGCCACGATGTCGTCGACACTGTTACTGAGTTGTAAGTATATTTTACGCTAAATTCGCAAGATCTTCTGTCATATTAAAAAGCTTTAATTTATATTATTCGAATAATACAGATGTTTTGACGACATGGCTGTTCGTCGCCATAGGAGCGATCACCGTATCAATAGATCGCGCTGACATTAAAGCCGTAAGTATAATCGATATAAAAAATTTCACCTAATCTTTATTGTACATTATTATCGTTAATTGTTAATACCATTACTTTTATGCTTTATATTTTTTTTAATTTAATATTCAAATATCAATATAGTTAATATTTAATATCAGAAAGTTATGACGATGCTATTCTCTTTGAGCCTTCTCTTTGAAATTTTTTAAAATAAAGAACTATCTTTAAATTCATAAAGCGGATCATATATAAATTATAACTGACTTTTCCGAGACAGCTTCTCTCGCGCATTTGATATTTTATTGACATCTTTCTATTATCGCATAAGTAATGCACGAGTCAATAAAATCTCTGTCTTTTGATTCTAATGGCGTTTTACGCGACTCGACAGCCGCGCGGAAACGCGCGACAATTCCTTTACTGCCACAAAAGCAAAATAACTGGGGAAGTTAGACGAAAGATAATTTGCCGTCTAAAAGCTATTGATTTTATTTCGCATGTAACACAATATTCGCGCGCACGTTTATCCACAGTCGCCATCGAGAAGTGACATTCCGACACCTTAGATTTTCATTTTATTACGCTATTAGGATTCTCGACAGGCGTGCAAATAAAATACGCGGCTTATCACGGAACGTGTGTACTCGGAATGAACGGACTTAGGAAGGTGAATTGGAAGTAACATGTTCTCAAAGCCTCGTACGCTTATTTTCTGATTATACCGACCGCAGCTTGCCGCCAATAGCGGGAAATAATAGTCTCACTTACAATTTTCTCGTACGTCCGCGTCGTGGTGAAACTGGAACAGGAACCATTCCATTAACCTCTTCAGGAAGTTCGAATATCGCATTACTGTAGCTGTCCTTGCTTTAAACGCGAACGAAAGTTGTGTTTGATGCACCGTATAGGGAAGGTACATGAGAGCTTGATGGCAAAGCTAGATATACAAGTTGCTCGGCTGCAATGTACTGATCTAATGGATCGTAGTTTAAAACAATTCTTGTTAGTAGATGGAGAAGTGTAAAATAGAGAGTTAATTATAAGAAAGAATATTTTTTAATAGAATGTTATAAGTATATTATTATAAAATCAGGGAGACAAGGATGTGCTCGATATATACAAATTTTATTAATTTTATTATTTTTAATTTTTTTTTTAATTTTGTGATCCTAATTTAGCGAGACTTATAGATCTGATATATTCAATTTCTGAATTTTCCTGTCAAAATATGTAAAGCTCGAGTCTCTGATCCATAGCCACCAACACGATCATCGATGATCGCAAACGGATGGCGGCCACTGACTAATTCCTACGAGGAAACGATCGGCACCAACGTGTCGCCATCCAGCTACCTAGAGAAGAATGTCCAGGTGCATCCTGTCCTAAGCAAGTTTCAAGAGCACATGGCGACTTCAGAGAAACTGAAGCCGCCGCGGAAAGGCAAGCCGCCAGTTCACGAATACAGTCCGCCGAGTATACTCGGTAGTTTCACGGTGTTCGGACATGCGGCGACGAAGGCGCGGGGCGAGACTAAGACGCCAAGCAAACCCTTGCGTGCTTCGGAGACCCAGGAGTATACGTTCCTGCTACCACCGCCCAAGGACGCGTATCGTTTCGAGGTGAGCCAAAACCGCAAGCCAATCCTGCGCGACAACGGCAACTACCTACGACAGCCGCAGTTTATCACAGCGCAGAATGTTCAGCAACTGCCGGATCCCGTGCGCGCCGCGACCTATTTCATCAAGAGTTACGCGTCCACCGATCATCCATCGACGCATGCCGTGAACCATCCGAGCAATCGTCCTTACATACCGCCCTACGCTATGCCGCAGGCGTTACAATCCTCCCGTCATCAGGTGAAACCGTTCGAGTCCCTGAAGGTCAACGGCAACGCAAAACCGTACTTCCAGCCACCTAGCGCGGAGATTCCGGGCGACTTTGGCAAACAAAAGATCGGCAACGAACGTGATGCTTACGACAGATATCAGCCGCAACCGCACAACGCGCAGATCTTGAACGCGGCGAGCAGCGGAAACTTCTACAGCCAAGTGAACCACTCTCCGAACGGTCACTTCAAGTCTTCCTACGAAAGAGACCCCGCTTTCCTGGTGCACGAAAGCCACGAGGTCAGCTACGTGACGTCTCCCGGTACGTACAACGCGTACAACTTCCGGCCCTCGTTGCCGTACGAGACTCTCCTGCCACCCGCGGTCTACACGTCTTCGTCGACGCCGTCGCCTACTACTGCCGTTACGCGGAATCCTGGCAAATATAGTCAGACAGTTGATGTCGCTCGCGAGAATGACTACAAACGTCCGGATCAGAGTCCGCGGAAGAAGCAGGAGAAACTCGGTGGACAGACCGAATCACCTAATTCTCGAACGACGAGCACTTATTATGTATCGGAGCAACAGGATCTGACACCGCCTACGTGGGCGAAAAACAAATATACGTCCGACATAAACGAAGTTCTTCCGAGGGAGAATCCGCCGAACAAGTTCAACCAAGAGATCGTGAACCAGAATCAGATCACGCAAGTATCGAAGCTCTACCATAGACCGCAAAGCTCCTACAATCCTGTCGAGGTTTACCCATCGACGCCGATATCGGATTATGAGACACCCGAGAGTATCTCTCTAAAGCACTTTAACGAGCAACAGTTTCTGCTGCAACAACAGCTGCTGCAGCGCGATCGGGATAGACTGGCGGAACAGGAGCGCCAGCAAAAACTGGAGATTGAACGACAGCAGCAGGAGGAGTTGAAGAAACGGCAGGAAGAGCTAGATCAGCTTTTACAACAGGAGAAGGAGGAGGAACAGGCGGCCAGACTGGCTGTGGAGTCTGCGAAAAATCAATCGCAGGATATCGTGAAGATCTCGCCCGATATGCCGTACACGATTCAACTGGCGCAATTCGAACCGCAGGTCACTACGGACGTCAATATTCTTGTATCGCAGCCCGATGTTTACAATGTCGAACAATTAAGATTACAGCCTCAGGTAAGATATTATTTTTTATAATTTAATGTATTGCATCCGATGTTAAATATTAAAGTACTATTAATTGACATCTTTAATGATGACGAATAAATTGAACTATCAATATTAATTATCAAATATTATCTTTTAATTTAACAATTTTATTTATTAGGTACATAAATAATTTTATTAAAAAATTTGTTCTATATTTTTTGATTATTATAAATTCTCTACAAGATAAAAAAACAAATTAAAAATTTATCTGTAAATATTATAGGTATCGCAAATTCCGGAGAATCAAGTAAATCAGAATTATCAATACCAGCAGCATAAGCAGAACGAGTATCAAGAGCAACAGGTCGATTATCGCGAACCTCAAATCGAGACACGGCCGTACCGTCCGCAAAAACCGTTCCGTGATCCGCATCGCCGTAAAAAACCAACGCCCGAATCTTCACTGACAGATTCACCGAGCCAATCGCCGGATACCTCCGTTCCCTTAACCCTTCACGTAGACGAAGTGCCCATTCAGACAACGCTGGCACCAGAAGCGCAGACTTTGCCGGTGGTAACGACGCAGAAGCCGTCCAGAACTCGTCGTCCCGGTGTCCCAATTCGACGAAGAAAACCTTCGACGACTACGGAGGAACCCGTTACAACGTCTTACACGGAAGAAGAATTTCTCAAGTACAACAGAGAGGAAGCGCAGCACAATCAGTACGATTCTTCGCGAAGGAGACGAATAAAACCCACCCAAGTGACTTACAACGAGGACATAGTCGCAGAGAAAAGAGGCAATATCAGAAAACGACCTAGTTACCGAACCAGAGTGAATCACGACGACGCCTTTGACGCGCAGATCGTCACGGAGAGCGCACAATCGTCGCTGAATTCCTACGGACAGACGACGGAGTCTGCACCGAGTTACAATGAGAATAACCAGTTCGAGACAAATCAGCCGAGCGTCTCGTACGTAACAAGTCAGCCAATTAATCAGTATTATGATTACTCCTCGCAGCAAAGCGCGGGACCACGCGAGGAGCACCGTGAAGATCATCGCGAGGATTATCGCGAGGATCATCGCGAGGATCATCGCGAAGATCATCGCGAGGATCATCGCGAGGATCATCGCGAGAATCACCGCGAAGATCATCGCGAGGATCATCGCGAGGATCATCGCGAGAATCACCGCGAGGATCATCGTGAGGGTCATCGCAAGGATCATCGCGAGGATCATCGCGAGGATCATCGTGAGGATTATCGCGACACCACCGTGCCAGTGCAGGAATATTTTACGGAGATTAGCCGCGACAAAGTCGAGGACTACAATGTCGACGTGCATCAGAAAAATGCGAACGTCGTTACTAATATACCGGAAGATTTCTACGTGAAGACCGAGGGTAATTACTACGATCGTGCGACCACGATTGCATCGACGACTACGACGACGACGACCACTACTACTACTCCTGAACCGACGACGCAGACTCCCCAGATTGTCTCTTCCACCCTGAGATCTCATAAGATGCGCCCCTTGAGATACGGCAATGCTACCAGACCACGCTTCAGTATCAAGGATTACAAGAGCCGCTTGGATTACAAGAGCCGATTGTCTCAAGGTTCCACGACGGAGGCCGTGCCGACGCCCGCCGGCGAAACCTTGACACGGGTTTCTCATATCAAACAGAGAACGTCGAATGCGAAGAATCAACAGGCTCAACAGCCGGGCGATACCGTCAGAGAGACCACTGGTAGATACAAGTACGTCTCTAGGGTGAACTATCGAACCACTACTACGCCGAGCTCGGTGGCCGCGAGGGAGTATGAACGATTTTCGGAGGAGACGTCCTCGACGACTGAAAAGAGCAACAAGTTTGTGCCAAAGAGACGGCCGATTAACAGCAATGTGTATCGAAGCAGAATTGCATCCACCACGAATAGTCCCACCCGATCGCAAATTAACGGCGAGACGAATGTCAGGCAGAGCTCGACGCGACCCGAAAACGTGTACTCATCGTCGATACGCAAGCGGCCGGTCGTAAAGAGCAGGCTGCATTCGCATAAGGAACACGTGGCCACGGCGTATCCAGATAGTAAGCGACAGGAAGAACCTACGGAGATGGCCGCTGAGGAAACCAGTTTTTACTCGGCTATGACGACCGCCGCTTCATCATCGTCGACCACCCATCTCGTGGGCAATGAGATTGTCAGCGTGAAGGAGGAGACCGCGTCGCTCGATAACTATCCGGTGCCACTCGGCGTGCAGGAAGACAAAAATGAGGATCACCGAATTGAGACCGATTCCCAAGACGAGAAGGTAAAAGCAGCATTAATTGACGCGACGACCAACGATGACGATCGCGGACAAGTCTCTGGCGACAAGCAGTCTAATGAGAGTCGAGTCGAAAAGTCGGAAGTCTCCCCGTCCGTCGAGAGCAAGGTCGACTCGCCGCGAGAGGAAGAGTCGGAAACCGCGGAGACCACGACCAAGTTCGATGTGCCCTCTGACGAGGAGGAACTATTCGCCAAGGCGTCGCAGAGCGTGGCGGATCTGACGAGCTCCGCGTCCGCTCTCTACGACAAGCCGGGCATGTTCAAGGCGGTCTCACCGGAGAGCAGACTCGTTTCATCCCATTTCAAGATCACCACAGACGAGCCGACGTTACCCATCGAGGCCTTCTTTCAGGAATTCTCGAAGAAGAATTGATGGTTTACGAAAATAATCCACTTTGCCGCGCGGCAACAGACTGTTGCCGAATCATACGGTCGATAATTCCAGAACGGGGCGAAGAAGCGTAGAAGAATTTCCGAACATTTTTGATAAGCGAAAAGTCAGAGATACGATATTTTCAATAAATATAGACTTTGCAAGAAAATTTATATTTCAAAACAGAATGTAGAACACGTTACGTCAGGGAAGGGGCTACAATTTTTTTCCAAGTATTATGTTACTTGTAAAGTCTCCTAGACCCGGAAGAGCGTTTCGAGAGACTCACTCAGACGAGAAGAACTCACATATATTACGTCACATATACCGTAGCCTTAGGCGTACTTATTTCCGTTTCTAAAGTATTGTCATTGCAAAGTATTGTCATTTCCGTCGTAGTAAATTAAAATGGCGTATCGAGCGTTTCAACACGCGATCATCACATTTCGAGCACACTTCCCAGTGGATATACGACTCTTTTAACGACTAAACGTTATACCAAAAATGTTAAGTCCGCGAAGAAGCGCCTCTGCAACGATGAAATTCCCGGAAGAGCAGTCGCGCTTTTTCTCGTACTCTCGACAGGACATTGCGTGTGCAATATCTGTAAAAAAGCAAAGTATTCGACCTGCTCATGTCCTGTGGTAATATCCTTCGTATACATCCTTTTTGTACCTTTTTATTCTAGGTTACTCATAAAGGAAGCGATACTAAATTAGAATATAAAATATAACAATGTAATAATTATAATGTCTTATATTAGTGTAATCGCGAATCATATCTCATTGTATTTATTTGAAGCGTGCGGGATCATTCTCTAAATCATTTCTCGTTGTCACTTTCCGCGACGTCGAGATGAGAAAACTAACGAACACCAAGAGATATTGTAAATATGAATAAATAGCGTAGAAATTTTCAATACTATTTCCTGGGCGGAACATTTTTTAAAATCTTTTATATATTAAGAAGGAAAAATATTTTAAGATCATTCAGAGCAAATTTAAATACAACAACAGATGTGTATATATATATATATATA